CATGCATTAAAACCCAAGGATTCCAGGAATATGATTCTTACAAAATGCCTTGCATTGGTTGACATAATTTGTAGTATCCTGAAAAAATCAGATATTCCTGAAATTAACTGAATGTCGATGAGTAACTGGGGATATCCCACGATTACTCAGACTTTCCAGATGGGTTTCAGGGAGGAGCCACATCATTCATGACTGGGCTTTCCCACGACACTCTTGTTTTTCTTGTACTTCCCACACAGTCTCCTATTTTTATGTGAACAAATGGTTACTCCCCAGGAGCTCAAAGGTGCTGGTCTAGGTGGGTTGGCACACTAGTTAGGTTGAATGTCAGGTTTTTATTTCACTTTATTACTTGACATAAATAATTGGGAAGGAGGGTGTGGCTAGGGAAACGGGAAGCTCTGGTTTTCATAGCAAAGCTTTAAATTTCATTGCCAGAACTCTGTTCTTCCATTAGTGATACCGATAGTCATTGGTACTCCAAGGGCTTTTTTGGTTAGCTTTTTTGTCTTGTTGTATGACAACTCTGAGAGGGAATGTTTTCAAATTGTTTCCTAAAATAATCTGCTAGAATGAAAATTGTTTTCAGTTCAGAGTTTCAGTGACTTCTTAGTTTCTTAAGCACTACAGAGAGGCGTCAGGTTAGGAGCCAGTGCTGAGCAGCACCAGGTGAAATTGTGTTGACACAGGAGAGAAGCGTAGATGGAATGTATCTCACAGCAGTTATGTTTTAAAGGAAGATTTTGCATATATGGAAACTTGTGGCTAGGGCAGAATAGGAGTTGGCATAAAGTTACCTGCTGCTGGGCAAGCTTCTTTCTCTGGCTGTTCTCAGCTCAGCAGGAAATGTTTATTTTCAATACTGAGTAGGGAACATTTCCTGCAACTTTATTACTAAGGGGGGGGGAAGCCCCAAACCAAACAACAAAAAAAGCACCTTCCCAGTGCACATAGGGGGCAGTGCTACAAATGAGAGGAATATTCACATAGGTTGTGCCTCACTTCCTATGATGCTGGAAACTGAGGTGCAGCAGTGGTGTATTTGATACCGAGGTAGTGGAAATAAATGTAGTTTTATTCTGCTCAAGAAGCTGCATTACGTGAAATCTGCTGTTTTAGTAGATGTTATCAGGGATTAAATGAGGCTAAAGGAAAAAGAAATGTCTCATACACGTACGAGCTGTTAAAATCTTTAAACTCTCTAG